AGGGATGTGGGGAGAGGGATCTGTCCTGTCCTCAGCCTGTGTTCTGTCTCACTCCACATCCACTTTCCCAGCTCCCCCACCCCTCCCCGGGTGGTGCCCCTTCCCAAGAGCACTGAGAAAAGCACAGCTCAAACATCCAGTGGGTGCCTTCAGCACCTCTACAGCCACAAACCTGGCCTTGCTCTTCCAGAAATGTGTCCACTACTGGCCCGAGAAGGAGGGCACCTACGGCCCCTTCACCATCTGCGTGCAGGGAGTGAGCGAGTGCGTGGAGTACGTGGTCCGTGATCTCTCCATTCAGGTGGGTTCAAGCTCCATCCTGGAGTCAGAAGGGAAGCCCAGCAGGGCCTGGCAGTGCTCCCAACCCCCCTGGGATCTCTAGTGAGATGGCAACGCTGTGCGACAGGAGAGCAGAGGGTTCATGGCTCAGAGAGCTGGGTGTTATGAGCCACATGCCAGAGGAGGGGTCTGCAGGGCTCCTGCCTGCGTGAGAAGACTGAGAGGGAACAGGACCCAGCCCTGGAGGAGAGAGGAGAGGGGTCAGCTGGAAAGGGCTTCTCTTTTAGCCCTTTGCTGTTTGCACTGTGCCATTGGGCTCTGTTCCATGGGCTCTCTGTAGTCGCCTGGGCTGACACTACCCAAAAGGATCTTGCTGGTTTTGCCTGGACTATGGGGACAGTATGGGGACACTCTGTATGTGTTCCCATTTTCTAAGATGGGTCACTTCCCAGTGTTTCTGAGACCCGCTGGCCCAAGGTCTCTCCTGGGGATTTGGCAGATGCTCAAAGAGGGATTTGGGAACGGAGCAGAACAGATGAGATGGTCACAGTTTGCCTGGCCTCTGCTTGAGCTGGACTCCATGCCTTTATTTGGCTCAGCCCAGGAAGTCTGTGGTCTCACATCCTGGTTTCTCTTTCTTCTGTGCTGGAAAAGCTTGAAGGTGAATGCCGCCAGGTCAAACACATCCTCTTCCCATCCTGGCCGGACCAGCAGACACCCGAGTCAGCCAAGCCCCTGCTGCACTTGGTGTCCAAGGTGGAAGAGACTCTTCAGGCTGCAGCCAGCCCAGGGCCCATCGTTGTGCACTGCAGGTAAGAGCTTTCCCCTCACTTGAGTCTGTCCCACTCCTTGGGGTCAGTCTGCAAATACTGGAGGGGAAAATTCCATATGTGAATGCTCATGAGTCAGTCCTGCTGTGGCACAGAAATCCCAGGGTATGGCATCCCCATAGCAGAGTTATTCGAACAGCAACTCCTGTCCTGGCATCAGGATGGTGACATTAGCACAGTGCATACTGCCCCATGAAGACATCTGGTTTGCACCTGGGTCTGTGGATGGCAAGGTGGGAGCAGGAGAGTTCTGCAGGGTCGGGACCCAACTTCCAGACCCACGGCAGATCCACAGCTCTGTCTCCTGCTTCCTCTGCCACTGAGCAGGCCTGCAGCTCAGCTGTGAAGCTGTTTTTCAGGGCAGTCCTCCTGGAGGAGGTGGCCTCTGTGTATTTTCTCTCCCTGTTAAGTGAATTTGGGGACAGTGGAGCAGAGTGCCCGATTGTCCCTGTGCCACACACTTGATGTGCAATGCTGCAGGCTGACTTGCCCCAGGGCAAACTGCTCAGTGCCTGGGGTTAGAGCTCACCTGGGAGGGGAGGTGGAGGGGCTGCAGAGACCCCTGTGCTGTGCAGGGACAGGGGCACATACTGGGTTTGTGCTTCCAGAGTGACCTCAGCTGGGCCATGCACCATGACTCCCTTGCCTTGGCAGAATGGCACCAGCCCACATCTTGGTGCCTGGCTGAGAAAGTTGGCCTGGCAGCTGGGAGCAGGACCCCAGCAGCAAACCAATCTGGGATTATGTCCATCTTGGACAGATTAAAATCCAGGTAGTGCATATTGTTGGTGCTCAGAACAGCTGTGTCTGTCCCGCAGCGCAGGCATTGGCCGGACAGGCTGCTTTATCGCTACCAGGATCGGGTGCCAGCAGCTGAAGGACAAGGGGGAGGTGGATATCCTGGGAATTGTGTGTCATCTCCGCATAGACAGGTGGGTGCTCAGAGCAGCCTGCTCCTTGGAGGGTCCTGTTGGCTGCCAAACCTGGCAGGAAGGATGCAGGAGGGACCTGGGGATGGGTATCATGAGGGAACATGGGGACAATTTTTGATGGAAACCAGAAAGGTTGCTGAAAGATGCAGATGTGGTGACAGCAAATGGTTGCCCAGTGCTGGGCTGGTTTTGCTGTCAGGGCTATTGCAGCTTTGAGGACCTGAGGATGTGAGGAAGAGGAGAGTGGCTCTGAACCTGGCAGCTGATCTGCTCCTTCCAGCTCAGCCACTAAATTCAGAAACACTCGATTTTGCTATTTTTCAGGAGAAGTACTGGTAAAAATTCGAGACAAATCAGTTGCTAATCTGCATTTTGAACAGCCAAGCAATGCTTGTGAGCCCAAACACTCTCTGAGCAGCTCTGGCACCTGTTTCAGATACACCTGGACGTGGCGAGTGAAGCAGGAATATTTGTGTCCCGGGAGCGGGGAACTGAGGATGGGGCTGTGGGCTTTGGTGAGGTGTCAGCGGGACCTGCCTTTCCCTTGCAGAGGCGGGATGATCCAGACGAGTGAGCAGTACCAGTTCCTCCATCACACACTAGCTCTCTACGCTTCCCAGCTGCCGGAGGTGGGAAGCCACTAGCGCAGGGCTCCCACCGGGCTGCCTGCGCCCCGCTTCGACCTCTCCTCCACCAGCTGTGGGGACACCTCCACCAAACTTCCTCCTGCTGCCACCAGGCCACAGAGCAGCAGCATGAGCAGCCCTGGATGAGCACAACTGAGCAAACCCACAGGGATTGTGGCCTTGCCACGCTGAGGATGAGCAGGGGTTGGCAGGTTCACATGAGGGACTTGGTGGATGCTCAGGGTGGCCATTGCTGCTGCCTCGAGGCAGATTTCACTCCTGCAAAGAAGCTTTGGCTTTCCAAACGTGCAACGTTTTACCCTCAACCAGAACAGCAAGCTGCACAGAGGAACTGGAGCTGGGTGAGCACCGGGAGCATGGTTTGCCTTTTAGCTGCACAGAAATGTTTACCCTGTTAGACGCAGAGCTGGTTACAATTGCCTTACAAATAAACAGAGCCTCTCTCCTGATTTTGTATCATCTCTGGGTAGAGGCTGTGCTGCGTGCAGGGCTGGGCTTGCTCCAAACACGCTCCATGATGCTCTTCTTGCTAAAGGTACACTTTGATGGTTTAGCACAAAAGGTGCATAGTTGGTTGCCTTCATTACATGGCTTGCTTTCCTCTCCACCTTTGGCCAACATCTTCTCAGCAGCCTTAAAGTAGGGGAGATTCCTAAGTGCATCTGCAGTTTTGCAAGCAACATATTCCCAACTGCCTTTTGTTACACAAAGACAAGGGGTGGTTTGCCTTCTTTTTTTTTTTTTTTTTTTTTTAAATTAGAATAAAATAATATTTGGGTTTTCTTGGGGGTTTTTTTTGCTGATAAATTCAGGGTGGAGAAAGGAAGAAGAGGGAGAAACATTTTGGCACAAAGCAAGGAGATGGAAATACTCCGTAAAATATTTTAAAGATATTCTATAAAAGCAGTAAGTTACTCCAGTAACATCCTTCCACCTACACATCTGGGTTACCCAGCTGCCAGGTTAACCCTTCCTTGTGCCACAGCATGCCCAGTTGGTCACTGCTGGGGGAACCTTGGTCTCTGTGGTGCCTTGTGCCCTGCCTAGTGCCTGGGCTCTTGGAGAGACCACAGAGCCTCTACAAGCCCCTGAAGGTCAAAGCATGGCTCAGGACTTTGCCTTCTCAGTTAATGTTGCCTTTGATGGTGTCTCTGAAGCCAGCAATGGAAGTTTTGAGCTCATCTGAGACAGGCTTCATTCAGCTGGCCCACAGCATCCTCCTTTCCATGTCTTTTCTCCTCACACTGTGATCAGGCAGGGGAACTCCAAGAGCCTGAAAACTGTAGCACGCCACAGTCTTCCCCACACTCCCAGGACAGCAGGACATGCACCATTTTTCTCATGCTTTTGGTTTATTACCAAGGGGAGAGTTGTTACAGCAGGCTGGCAGTGAGAGCTGTGTTGAGGGTCTTCCACACCACACAGGAGCATTGCTGGGACCAGCATCTGGCCAGGGGGTGTTGTGACCCTCTTTGAGATTCCCCAGTGGGTGCTGGGAGTTTTGCAGTTCAGTTGACTGATGCAGATTATGGTCAGTTAAGTAATTTTCCTGTCTTTCTGTCTCGGTTTGTACCAGCTCTATCCATTCAAGACACCAATCAGGCCATTACCACTGCACTGAATATGTCTCCATCCTCCCTGTATTTATTTCCTGAGTACTCCTCGGGGCCAGGCTGGGCCTGTGTTATTGCAAAGCTCCAAACCCAGGCTCATCCATGTCAGGTGTCAAACAGGGTGTTTGATCTGGTCTGGCTTTGTCAGGCTTATACACCTATGTCCTGGGAAACTGCTTCACCCTGTCCATGAAGACCATGGCATGCCCAGCAGGCAAAGGAAAGGAATCACTCCAAAATCTCTTGTCTCCCCATGCCCCAGGCTGAGATTAAGCCTCTGAGGTTGGCCAGGGGTTTCAGCAGGGCTGAGATAGCTCCTGCTCCTCATTCCTCTCCCTTAAAATCCTGACATGGATCCAACTGCATTTTTTCCTTCTGTGCTTTGCTGGACATGCAACCCAGACAACTGGGCAAGGAGCTGGTACTGGGGTCCCTGGGCTGCAGAATCCTGTGAACTCTGTCCCCAGCTGGCCAGATCCTGCCCAGGGTTCAGAAAAAGTCCTTTTTCCATGTGACTGTAATTTTGACCTGGGGTTTCCTGGGCTGGTAACCCATTTCCTACCCTTGTGACAAGTCACCAGGCTGGAGGTTGCCTAGGACAGGTGAGGAAAACCATGGTGACCATGCAGTGCACAGCACTGTAGTGGCTCATGCAGGCATTGTCAGTAGCAAGGAGACCCACACTGCTCCAAATTCACTGCAGCTGATGGAAAGCACCAGTGCATTACATGGCATCCCCATCAAACATGGCACAACACTGCAGGCACCGCTTCAGCCAGGTCCTTGGAAGAGCAGGGCATTGGGGTAGGATGTGCCAAAATCCAGCATTTTGGGTATTCAGTAACAGCTCTTCACCCAAGCAAGTATTGTAACTACAGACGAGTCTCCAATAGCATCCTCATGGACTCCAAGTAATCAATGACCAAGCCATCACCCAGAAAGGAGAAATTTCAAGGCATGCTGTGACATTTCAAGGGCAGCACTGGGGTCCCAGGAGCTCATGGAGGCCCTGTGAGAGCACTGGCAGCAGGTGGGACACCACAGAGGATGAGGTCCACCCAGCAGCGCCTCACCCAGCACCAGAGGGATGGCTCACAGCTGGGAGCACCGGGGACCCTGTGGGGCACGGGAGTGACACTTGTTTGTGTTGATCTTCAGAAACCCAGTGGTTAAACCATGAGATGGTGGAACACAGAGAATGAGCCATCCATGACCCCACATTAACATGTAGCACAGCCCTGACAGTTCATTTTCTTTAAGAAACCTTGTTGAGCAACCACATCAAAACCACCTGGGTATTTCAAATATGCTCTTGTCTGGAGAGGTCCTGGAGTGGTGCTGACTCTTGCCCAAGACACTCTGCCCAGTCTCACACTCCTGGCATGGAGACCATGGGGTGTCCCAATGGGTGACAGTGCTGCAGAGGTGCAGCTGTGGGGATCAGATCTGGCTCATGCATCCCCACACATGCTGCCATGGCTCCTCTGCAGGGAGCACAGTTTGGGACCACCTGGTTCAAACCAGTGGGAAACAGGCAGATATCTCCAAACCTGCCAGGGCTGGTGTGAGACCCTTCCCTTGCTGGGGTTAAGGGAAACGGGGATGGGCAGGGCCGGGGGCAGTACGCAGAAAGGGTCGGTTTTGCTCATTTGCTTGTGTGTCTCCTGGCGTGGGGATAGACTCGTCCAGCTCCCATCTCTGCTGTGAGGGGTGTGTTTTGTTTGAGCCCCGGATGGACAGTTTCTAGGGCAGGGACTGCAGTCACACACATGCTATCAGGAGGCAATCTCTGCTAACAACTCGAGTGCCACAGGCATTTTGAGTGGGAAGCTTCAAACTGGTGTAGGGGTATTCCCTGGTCTGAAATCAGGTTTTTAGATTTTAGAAGAGCAAACTTCAGCTCACTCAGAGCTCAGTTGGAAGGGATTCCATGGGAAACTTCCATGGAGGATAAAGGAGCTAGCAAGTGCTGTGAGTTTTTCAAGAACGCTCTCCTGGAAACACAAAACCAGTTCATCCCTTTTAAAGGTAGGGGAAGATGGCTTAGCTGTGAGCTTCTGAATCTGCTCAAAACCAAAAGGGAAGCATAACAAAGATGGAAAAGTGGACAAATAGCCATTGAGAAATACAAGGGTGCAGAAATGCAGATACAAATACAAAAGCTCAGTTTGAATTGAAATCGGCCCAAGTGTCAAAAACTACAAGAAAGGGTTCTTCAGGTATGTAAAAAAAACCCCAACCAGAAACAGAAGGAAAATATTGGCCCACTGTTAAACAGGGGAGGTGAATTAGTCACCAACAACGCTGAAAAGGCAGAGGTTCTTGATACTTTCTTCACCTCTGTCTTTACCAGCACTGTTGGGCCCCAGGGGTTGGGAACAAAAATCCAGGTTGATGCAAACACAGACCTGCCACCCATGAAGAGCTGGTATGTGAACTATTACAGGTGCTTGACCCCTACCAAACAGTGGGCCCTGATGTTATTGACCCAAGCGTGTTAAGAGAGCTGGCTGGTGTCATCGTGAGCCTGGTCTCTATAATCTTTGAGAAGTGGTGGAGATTGGGGGATGTCCTAGAAGACTGGGAGAAGGCTAATGTCACCTTCATCCACAAGAAGGGCTTAAAGGAGGATCCAGGAAATCATAGACCCATCAGAATTAATTCAGTCCCTGGGAAAGTTATGGAATGAATCCGCCTGGGGCTATCACAAGTCAAATGAAGCACATGATTGGGAAAAGCCAGCATGGGTTCACCAAGGGCAAATTGTACTTGACAAACCTGATCGCCTTCTACAATAAAGTAACCTGCTCGGTTGATGTGAGGCGTGTGGTGGACGCCTGGATTTCTCCAAGGCTTTTGATATGCTTCCCCACAGCCTCCTGCTAGAGAAATGGATGTGTTATGGTCCAGACAAGTGGTCTGTGTGGTGGGTGAGGAGCTGGCTGACAGGGCACACCCCGAGGGTGGTGGTAAATATCTCCTTTTCAAACTGGCAAGCCGTCACAAGTGGAGTCCTCCAGGCACTGATATTGGGCCCAACACTGTTTAATAATGTCATAAGTGATCTGGATGATGGGATCAAGTATACCCTGATGAAGTTCAGTGATGAAACCAAACTAAGTAGGGAAGCAGACACTTCAGAAGGGAGAGCTGCCCTGCAGGAAAACTTGGATAGGTTGGAAGAGTGGGCTAACAAGAACCTTATGAAGTTCAACAAGGACAAATGTAAGGTCTTGCACCTGGGAAAATATAATCTAGGAGTGCAGCACAGACTGGGACCTACCTGGCTGGACAGCAGCTCTGTGGAAAAGGAGCTAGGAGTCCTTGTGGACAATAAACTCAATATGAGTGAAGAGTGTGCTGCTGTGTCAGAGAGCCAACAGGATGCTGGGTTGCATCAACAAGGGC